TTAAAAAGGAAAAAAAATTGGTTAATTAGCACCATTGCGGACTTAATGGTACTCAGACAACACGGGTTACTTAAAATCTCAATATTTTATTTAATCCACAACAATAAGTTAAACATCAAAACTTTCTATTCAAAAAAATATCATGCAAATTAATCCGACATATGCCCCCGCCTGCCTTGATCACCCTGTTATACATCAAATAGCTTACATACATACAGTTTGTACAATCAGAAAGCACAAAAAGGCCTAATGATGAAAGGAGCAGCATCTCAATGCGTTTTGCAATGTTGGAACTAGAGGTGCACTGAAATGGAAATTACAAAACCGAAACCCGAAATAAAAAAATGGTCAGGCCGAAACCGAAAATGTTTTTTATTTTAATTTTTTTCTAATTTTAAAAACAATTATTTTTATATATTTTTTATAAACTTTGTAATTTTTCAATATTCTTATTCGTTAACTTTTTATTAAATATTTTTATTTTTTACTTTACTTTTAGGGGCTTCGGGGGAAATATTAGGGGTCTGAACAGACCCCTGATATTTCCCTTTTTAAAATAGAAAAAGAGATTGAGGACCCAAAGTCCTCAATCTCTTTTTTCTGCAGCCCCAGTTATCAATGAACAGGAATCCTCTATACTGAGTTCATTGATAACATGAGGACATGGTATGTTTACTATAACCACAATCATGATTGAACAGGAGGTGATGTAGATCACTTCCCAGTCATTCATAATTGAGGATACAGTAACCATATCATGTCCTCAATTATCTACAAACACTCAGCGATCACTGATCGCTGAGTGTTTGCATTTGCTCTCCTTTCTGACAGCTGTCACAGGAGGCTGGGCGGGGCGGTGTGGGAGGAGAGCTCACCCTCCTATGACAGCGCGGGCTCTCTCCGCCCCCACACTGCTCTGCCTGACTCTGATAGGAGGCTGAGCGGTGTGGGAGGAGAGACGCTGGTCGCTCACGTGTTGTTATACCTCTTATACTTGGTCACTGGCAGCAACTATCTCTCCTCCGGTGACAAGGTAAAGGGAAGAGGGAAAGGCTAGGCCAACTTCATATAATGAATCTTGCAACTCAGTGTCTCGGTTTAGTGCTGATCCCTATATTTTTCTTATATCATATAATGATTCTGCAACTCAGTGTCTCAGTTTAGTGCTGATCCCTATATTTTTCTTATATCATATAATGAATCTGCAACTTGGATGGATATTGAGGCATGTATTTGTATTTATCAGAAAAATCTCCACATACACGTACTCTCCCCAGTGGTTAGGAAATTCACCTTCCTTAGGTCATCATATAAAACAAAACAAATATATGGAGATACCAGCGCAAACGAATATTTTATTGTAGTTGCGCTGGTATCTCCATTTATTTAATATGTAATTTGGATGTGGTACTTTTCTTATAAGGCAATACAACTACTTTCTAATGTGGTATGATGTGGAGTGATATTGGCATACAAACATATGCCTGTTCTGTAATCCAATAGAAAAAAAGCCCCAAAAACTGTAAACTTATTCTTTCCTTTTTCTTGTCATGTCAACTAAAATAAAGCAATAAGATGCATTGCAATAGGCTGTGCAGTTTCTGTGTAATTTATGTGTTCTTACTTACACAATTGTTAAATCCTTCTGCTAGGAGATGCTCAGCTGTGTACCACACAATTCAAGCAAAGCCTTGAAAGCCATTCATAGCTATGATTTTGGCTGATTTGTCAAAATATATAACACTAGAATACTGCCTCCAACTTAAAGGAGAACTATGAGGTGAGTGATTTCCACTCATCCTCATAGTTAGAGCCAACCTGGGACAAAGAAGCTGTCACGATCAGCTCCATTGATTGGGAAGTGAGCAGAAACATGCACCGATCGGCTCACTTCCCGATCATCTCCCTGCAGTGAGTGGTGACTGTTAGTCACCACTCCCGCAGGGATTCGCCCTCTCCGATTTTCCATTGCTAAGTGGAGGAACGATCAGGGAAGGTGGCAGGCATAGCTGGCTCTGCCTCCTAGATAGGCTGAGCTAGCTGTCACTCACGCAGCTGAGTGGATCTTGACAGTATTGTCGGGATCCGTCTCGGCTGCAGCACTCTCAGTATATTGCGGGCAATAGCTCGCAATATACTGAGCTTTGGGTAATGGGAGGAGGTTAGTATATGTGTTCCAATGACCCTAAAGAGAACTATAGGGGGGAAAAAAACTTACCCCATAGTTCTCTTTTAAATATTTATATTTGAAAAAAGTGTGTGTTTATGTAAAGGGATGTTCTATTAATGTGAAACATACACAGGTACAAGTGGCAATACAGTAATTTACACAGCTAAATTATAAGTGAAATGGAGTATGAACCTTATTTTGAACTGCCATTCAAATCGTTTTATTTCATTAAGCACCATGTTTATAAACTTAGGGCCTACAAATAATATTTTCTTATCTAGAAGGTAAGCAAATTGTTCTAAACAAATAAAAACCAAAAAAAGTTCTTCAAATTATTGTTTATGCATGTAAAGAAAGGCCTTATGTACATTCATTCAGCTTCAGCCAGTGTAAAATGTGTTATTTCATTAACAACAACCATTTAAAATCCACTCTGTTGTAGTCAGGACCGCATATTCTGATTGGTTGCTATAGGTTTTGGCACTCTTGCCATGTCTATATTATATTAAGTGTCTATTTGACATAAGTGTCAGGGCACTTCGACAGGGCCACATATCACGAATTATTCTCTTTATGGTCCCTTCTCTTCTTCCACACAGATACACAGAATTAACTTCTGTGTCACTTGTGCAAAACCATCCTGTGTGAATATCTTCCTGAAGAGTTTGTGTGACATGGTACACTGAATTAAATTCTGCTTTACTGGCTCTCTGTGTGAAAACCATCATGTGTGAATATCTTCATGCAGGCCTCTGTAACACGGTAGACTGATTTAACCTACTGCTGTTTAACATATCTATATTATTGAGATATAATTTCATATATTATTGCACAGCGCTAAAACTATCCAAAAATATCATTAAAATAAAACATTAATATATATATATAACTATAAGATATAAAGATTAATGAAATAGTGTTTGGTGATGTTGGCAATGAATCAAATCAGTGCAATAAGTGAAAAAGGGGAATAATAAATGTGATTGACATTAAGTGCTCAAAAGAGCTATATTAACTCCCCAAAGATCAAATATGATAAAAAAAGTTTGAAAAAACTCCAAATTGAACGAATAAATAACATAGAATAAATCTGGAAAACCAAAACAAACAAAAAAGCAAATGTATGTGTCCCATCCAGTGATTGATAGAAAACTCAATATGAAGCTCGCAGCTAGTAATTCCCCTCTTCATCTGGAACACCCTTGTGGTTATGCACTCACCAAATAAATAACTGCAGACAGCATTTTAAAAACGGTCCCCCATCCAAATATTACGATCTCATGTGAAGGCAGCTGATGTGTCGTGATGATGGTCAGAATGAATGAAACACTGCCTTTGATTACTGCTTGGATCGCGCTTGCTGGCAGATCTCTAATCCAGTACACCGCGATGTCCACTCGCAGCAATCCCGGCACCTCGAAGCTCCCCCAATCAGGACATGCATGGTCAGAAGTGCTTCTCATTGATCAGTGATGTCAGGTGACTGTGCTGACCAATGAGTGTTCACCATTTGTGAGCATAATTTGAAATACATAGTGCAGTGCTGCGATGCTGTTTATGCGGGACAGATCATAACCAGTAGCCATGGAGGGGAAGCAGCTTTTGTTCAAAGGTAAGAGCAACAGGAAGGGGGAAGAGGGAGCATATTGGTGGGGGTAATTCAATTTTCCAAATTCACCTGGGAAAGTGGAATTACCCTTTAGCTAAAGTGCTTATTTTGACATTGGTGTCAGGACACTTAGATAAGGCACTTTGAGCAAGGCAGAAGCAAAATGGCAGACTTACAGACTGTAGGTGAACCTGTCTTCCCCCTGCAGCTCATTTTCTTCCGAATCTGATTACTACTCTCTCCATCATGTAATATGCTCCCTCCTAAACAAATCACTGCTCCCATTCTCACTGACTTGCCACCTTGAGAGTATCCCAGGTGCTGGTGCCAAGCATGTCTCGGCTCCAAATCCCAAATTCCACACAAATACTGCACTTCACAGGATCTTCATCTAGAATAAAAGTCTTTATTTAAAAAGTAAAAATATGCACTGACATTTCTCCAATGTGATCCACCAGCCTATAATGTGTTTCACCCATCAGGCTTAATCATAGGGATGACCTCCTCCTCTCCTCTTTCCATAGATGTCCCTCAAGGCTCGGTCCTCAGACCCCTTCTATTTTCCATCTACACCACCTCCCTTAGTCAGTTGATAATCTCACATGGCTTGCAATACCATCTCTATGCTGATGACACTCAAATTTACTTCGCCTCTCCTCAGTTCACCCCTTCAGTCTCCTTGTGCATCGTTAATTTACTAACTGACATATCAGTGTGGATGTCATGCCACTTCTTAAAACTCAGTCTTTCGGGGGCGTGGCGAGCAGCCGACCAAGATGGCCACGGTCTGAGCTTGCTCCGTAACACCGATCCCCGGGACAGCATCTTAAAGCTACCAGAAGCTTACCCTGCTCATACCGGACTGCTCAGGGACGTCGGGTGCCTTCTCCGCTGCCCGCGGAAGTGAGATGAAACGGGGCAAGAAGCAGAAGGAACCGCGTTTCGTCCGCGGGCCGAAGCGATCCAAGATGGCGGACGCACACAGCAGTGGGAACACGAGGGCATCCATGTCACCGGTACCAGAGGTATTTGACTCGTCCTCCCTGGATAGCCTACCCCTTACCCCTGCTGAAAAAGGAGAGTGTCCGTGACTCAGCACTGCTTGACAAGTTTCGCTGCATGCTGCAGACATAACTGCTGGCAGCCACAAATAAACTAGCAGCCACATTGACCAAAGAGATCAGGGAGATTGGTGCCTGCACAGATCTCCTGGAACAAAAAATGGACAATGTGATCGCAGTAGTAGAATCACAGGAGAAGGAGATGGATACATACTCTGATAAACTGTCCATAGCATTGGATAAGCTAGAGGATATGGAGAACAGGGCCCGGAGAGGAAACCTGAGGATCAGGGACCTCCCTGAATTCATGGAGGACTTAACCTCATCAGTAACTGCTCTTGTTCAAGAACTTGTCCCCTCCATACCGATTGACAGGCTGGAG